TATATTATAAATATACCATAGATCAATAATGATACTTTTTGGATGGCCGGCAAATTACTATGGTATTTTCAACCCTGCCTGTGGGTAAATAATACAAGCTTCTCTTAATAAGGAAAATAAATATGAAATAAACTAAATACGTACAAAATTTAGATGGATATAGAAAATTCCTTATTCGTATGTACGTAGTGTTCCAAGAATTTGATTTATATGAGACAATGATGTTGGGCGTTTCATGCAGATACTAAATTTGCTAGTAAGGTATTTTAATTGATTACTTCACATGCCGTTTTTTCCAACCAATTTTTATTTATAAAAAAAAAGACGCATTCAAATTTCTTAAGGCGCAGTAACTGCATAGTAACTATGTAGTTACAATTGTAATTATGTAATTACTGTATCGTAACTATGCAGTTATTGCGTATTAAGTTTCTGTAAAGTCGTTCGTTAATTGAAATCAAAAATATCGGGAAAATATTAGTAACTAATATATAACTTATATGTAACTCCTAAAGCTAGCTTATATTGGCTTATTAAAAATTATAAAATATAGGCTAGCTTTAGGTTACATATAAGTCACATAGATATTTTTTATTTTAACTAGTGCTAATCGTTCATCTAAAAATTGTTTTAGAAAAAATAGCTGATTCGCGAGTTGAATCAATTTTTGAATATATTAATATTATATCATGCATAATCGTCATGCATAAAGTCCGCACAATTAATAAATTTTAGTATTTATGAGCAGCAAAATATTGGGATACCCCGATATCTTTCTTTTAGGCCCAGAGTGCTAAGAGTAAGATATCAGGGTATCCCCAATATTGTGCTGGTATGTCATCGATGTCGATCTACCTCCCAGATTAACGGTATCGGGAAAATTGTCTACCCGATGGTGTATGGTGATTGATAGTCAGCTTATCTAGTTTAATAACAATAATGAAACCATTTAAGAAAATGAATTGACGCCTCAAATCATTCACTGTTCATTGAGTTATGTCCGAACCGTAAACCAGCAGAATTCTAATTTACAGCATGCATATCACAATGAAATTGTTTTTCTTCAATGAAAAAATATATAGTAAAAAATAGTAATAGGTTGCCTCATTTGGAAATTGTTAGTAAATAAATACTTGCTTAACACAATAGGAATTTTCAATTTAGATAAACTTTTATTAATACGTATAGATTTCCAAACACGCATGCGTACAAAAAATGCTTTGTCATACTTATTTATTGAAAATACTCTTGCACATTAATTAGCCCTAATTAGAATAAAACATTAAAAAAAAAAGTTATAAATATTAATAAATATTCGAGAATAGATTTTCTTCACGGTTTATGCAATCATTATGTCTTTCATAAAAGATACTTTCGTCAAGGTTAAAAACGATGTTGAACATTTTGGTGAAAAAGAATGGCATAATTGGGGTCAAAATCAAGAGTTTACTCCTGATGAAATTTTTCGTCCTGTAAATTTGCATGATTTAAAAAAAATTGTCAAAAAAGCAAAGGAAAATAATAAGAAAATTCGTTGTGCTGCTGCGGGTCATACTTGGAGTAGCCTAAGCGTTACTAATGGATATTTAGTAATAGTTACCGATTTGAATAAAATTGAGATTCAGTATAATGAAAAATTGAAAACTTGGACAGCCACTACCGAAGCAGGTAAGGAAGAATATCTTTAAAAATTAGCAAAATACACGTTTTTGCTCTTTAGTACTTTTAATAAATTTACACTATTAAATTTATAGGTGTATATCTTAAAGACCTCGATAAAAAATTAAGACATCATGACCCTCCATTGACATTGGATGCTGCGACTGTATTGAATACTGTGACAACAGCTGGCATCGTGTCGACGGGCTCTCATGGTGCGAGATGCTCAAATTCAAACATTCCAGATAAAGTAATCTCCTTTCAAATTGTAACTGCCGATGGTGAACTTCATGAGTTCTCTGATGAGATAGATCCTGTTGAAATGAGTGCCGCTAGAATCAGTTTTGGTAAAATTTTTTTTTTAAAATAAAAGATAAAGAAAAAACGTATCAAATTAAGTACTTATCGGTTTTTAAACATTGATTCTGTGCTAAAGGTCTCTTAGGAATTATATATAAGCTCACTTTTAAAGTCGAGCCAATGTTTAATTACATAATGAAAGATACTTTCCCCACAATTACAGATTATTGGAAACCAGCAAACCTCAAAAATGAAGTATTGAATAATGATAGTCTTGAAATTTTCTATTGGCCATTCAATACACCAGGGCTTGCAGAAAGAAATGATAAACTTTGGGTAAAAACTTGCAATAAAACCGATTTGAATGCCACAGAGAATCAGGTAGAATTGAAATTGGCGTCAGCTTTCCAGAATTTTGAACTCGAATTTGGGGATCATGTTTATGAACACGTTGCTAAATTTCCGGAATCTACTCCATTCGTTTCTCATCTTCTATTTAAAGTTGGTGTTGAATATGAGAGTGAAAAGATTGTACCAGCTCCTGATGCAATTCATTATCAGGTGTGTTTCTTAAATATTAGTTTTAAGTATTTTTAAACTATATTTAATTTTCTCGAATTTTTCACAGAGCGGTATTGATAACATTCCTTGTATGGACCTTGAGTTTGCCTTCAAAGTCAACCATGTAAGTAGATGTTTAAAATAGAGATTGGAATTAATAGAGTATCGATCATCAATGACTACGTAGTACGTAGGTCACTTTAGAGTTAATACCTCAATCCGGATATATTTTTTATATCCGGATTAATCCGGTTTTATCATAGTATAAATCCGGAT